TGCACACATCCAGGATACAGCCAGGCAGGGTGGTGGGAGCGGCCCCAACAGCTGGATACAGGTAAGTCGATGGGAATTGGGGGTTGGAGGGCCAGGGCTTGGGGACTGTCCAGGGGGCTGTGTGTGTGTGTGTGTGTGTGTATGGGTGTGCATGCATGTGGTAGGTGTCTGTGGAAGGGGATGGGTGTGTGAAGGAGAGTGGGTGCCTGCCAGTGCTGGGGAAAGGTGTCTGGGTGCTGGGACTGCAGCAGGACTGACAGAAGATGCCTGCCTCACCAGCAGAGAACGGGGGCATCAAGGAGCTGTGTGGTTGGGCCAGCAGCACTGGGGCTGGAGCCTATTTTTGCTGGGGCAGGGCAGCCACGAGACTGCCTGTGGGGGAGCATGGCAGGCTGCCTAGCACGGTGCAGGAGCCCCAACCCAGGGTGAAGAGTGCCATAGGCCTTCCCTCCTCCTCCCTCTAGCCCACACCAGGGCCAGATTTGCTCTGCTGCCACCCACATGAGCAGGAGCCACCACAGCTGTCATGTTTTGTCCAGATTGGGACAGGGTCAGCTGGAGGCCCCTTTGGCAGGGCTGGGGGGAGCAAGGGGCTGTGAGTCAGGAGTGAGGGTCACCCAGAGGGCTGGGAGGCTTTGGCTTGGGAGTGAGGGGTGCCAGGTGGGGTGGGGGTCAGGTGAGCGGGGCACTAGCAGCCTCAGAGGGCTGTGGGTCAAGAGTGAGAGGGACCAGCAGGCATGGAGGGTAGTGGATTGGGAGTGAGGGACCCCAGCATGGCCTGGGGAGCAAGGTACTGTAGGTTGGGAGTGAGGGGTACTGGCAAGGCCAGGAGTGTGCAGGCCAGGAGTTAAGGTCAGCAGCAGGGATGGGGGGCTGCAGTTTAGGAGTGAGGGGCATTGGCAGGGCTAGGGAGAGCTATGGCTTTAGTTTTGTTTTACATTTAATTTCTGAGGCAATAATATTTGTCATTTACTGTAACAGTTAGAAACTGCCCTCCTCCCACAATTATATACCCTCTGACGGGTGTCCTCTTTCTTGGAACTGGAAATATGGTAACCTAATCTATTTGAAGGAACAGAAATATGTTCCATAAATGTGCTGGCAAGTACAATATGGCTCAAACAGTTGTTAGCTTAATTTCTACTCATCTGTATCCACTAGCAAGTCTGGTTACCTTTGCACAGCCATTTGATGTGGTCATGTAAGATAATCATTGCAGATGGTGCATCTTCATGAATGATATTGCAACATCAAGTGAAGTTTTCATATGCTTAAAGTAAAATTCCCAACTCAACAGAAGCAAAACATAATAGGTCATCCAAACTAGAATTTATAAATGATCCAGATTTAATACCAAGCATTTGAAGTGTCAGATCATGACAAACATATTAACACCATGATGACTTGAAAGAAGGAATTAAAATAAAATGTAAGAAATTCTCTCCTGGAATACAAATTCTGAATCAAAATAAGACTTCATCAAAAACTAAAACAAAACATATCTGCCTGTTACCACTATACCCATTGAAATTTAAATCAGGAAGTCTCTTGTCATCACCCATTTGCATTGAATATAGGTTAGGAATAGGAATCAGTCATTAGGAATAGGAGCACATGCCTGGAAAGTGGGCTTTAGAAACATATAGTTTCTATATAAGAAGTAGGTAACACAAGTTCTGCTTTTTCACTTATATAAAAATAAATCTCAGACTTTATAGCCTAACTATATAGAGCCATTGGGCTTTCATAATTTTAGATGTTTTTTTATTATATAATGTCATGCTCATGTCCACAGGGAAAGACTATTTTTAAATATCCCAACTAATGAAATGCTGATTGGCTTTTATCAAAAGCTTTTTGGTTCCATTCCCACATAGCCGTGAAGAGTATAGTTGGGTATCTTTTATACAATGGGGGACAAAAATCATGCTGATAAAAGCTAGATGAGCCCTCCATATTCCATTAAACAATTTTTGCTCTGAATGTTGTGGGAAAGTCAGAATCATGTAAAAAAAACAAACAAACAAAAAACAAACAAAATAAAAAACCTAGCCAGGAGACAATCCAATAATCTTGCCTCTGGGAGGGCTCATGATCAGCAGAGCAGCCATACTCTTTACCAATTCATCTCTACTATATGCCATTGTAAGAAGGCAAGATAGGAATGCTCTAATAAATTACTTCTTATCTACTAGCTTTGTAGTACTTAGTGAGCCTTATTATAAATTACAATTATATTGTCTAATTGGGGCTGCTTTGTTTGAATTGAGTGAATGCATGGATTTCTTTTTAATTCATGAACTTGGATACCATATTTAGAATTGTCCCAAATAGTAAATGATTTACTGATGGCTGTTTCATATACCAAACAGATGTAGTCATAGGAACAAAAATAGTACCTACCACAGAAAACTAGTCCTACTGTTTTATTATACTTGATCTCTACTTATCTGCTTTAATACTATTAAAGAAACAATCATTTTGAAGTTTCAAATGGGATGTTGTTAAAAGGATGGCAGTAAGTCTTAGGAAGTGAAGAAGTTACAGAAGCCTGCTAACTAAACATTGCAACAGAATACTTAACCATGCCAACAAGAATAACTGTTCCTACAATAGTAATTTCTACAGTGTAAATAAAACCTTATGGCCTGCATTACCTAGGATCTAATGAGACATCATTTTTTTTATTAAAACACAGATGTTTCAAATAATTTTTCATGCAATAAAAAGGATAAAAATGCCTTTCCTAATTTTAATTCAATAGCACATCTTTGTGTATATTTATGTTGGACAGAGAATGGACATTTTTTTCAAGATATATTGTGTCTAAAACATTGGATGTTTTACTTTCAATGAAGTAAGGAAGAACACAGTTTTGCAGTAAGAGCTAGGGATGATTAGAAAAGAAGAAATCCATTTAATGAAAAATTAAGTGATTTCTAAATTTATTTTTATTCTATACTATACCAAAAATGAGAAGTTTCAAAGTTGCTGTTTTTTTTAAACATCTTGTATAACTATTCCACTCACCTGTACAATGTTGAAAATATGATGTTCTGAGTAGCTTAAAGTTAAACAATATTTTTCAGTTTTTGGTTGGGAATTTATTAAACATATGACAATATTCATTCAGAATTCCAAAGAATTCCAAAGAAAACATCTATGACTGAATAAATATTGTCATATATTTGCTGTATATTTCAACAAATATACAAACTAGAAAAAAATATATTTTCTCTAGTTTGTCTATTTGTTTTCAAAACATTAGATAGAAAAAGTCTTTATTAAAAATCCCTTCATAATATCCTTTCCCCAGCAACAATTTTTTTCACTGCTTAATTTTTCTATCTAAAAGTTTTGCTACGTGGACAAAACAACAAATATTTGATGACAGCAATGATACAAATCCGGTAGCATTATTTTTATAAATAACTTTTATACTAGAGCATTCTGTGTAATCTACTGAAATTCTAAGTTCCATTAATATTATGTATTAGTTACTAATAGTAATAGTATTTCCTCCATGGTAAATCAAATAATTTCAAGACAATATTGAAAAGCCATAGAGCTGTGCTAAAAAAAAATGTTAAAGGCATAGAGACAAGCACAAGCCTGTTCAAACCTATATTTCTGTCACATACACTTAAGGTCATCACTAGTTACTTGGTGCCTATTTACTTTCTTTCACAATTTTCTATCTACTTTGCAGAGAACATTAAATAATGGTCACCTTTGTCAATACTTTCATGAAGGCAATGAGTGCCTTCATCCCTGTACTAGCCAACAGCATGTATAACCTTATTAGTATAATTTAAAGTTGAGTGGGGGTGTCTGCACATACAATTTGAAGCAATATGCACTGGAGTTTATTGCACCAGAGTTTATTGCTCCCAGGCATGCTGCTTGCACGTGCAATGGGGACTGCAGCACAATGCACTGGGTTAGGGAAGGCTCTGCTGGCATGGGGCACCAGGGGTCAGCCTGTTAGCCTGGGGCTGCCCCCACCCCTAACTCAACATGTTGCAGAGGGGCTGGCTGAGGCATGAGGGTACTTCAGTGTGGGGCTAGCACTGTGCCCCAACCAGCCGGGGCAGTGTCTACATGTGCACCGCTGTAGAATAAAAAAAACTCTGGAGCAGGATAGTTCTTGTATTTACAAATACTATCCTGCTGCAGTTAATTAGTTTACTGCAGTTTAATAGTGGTGCACATGTAGATGTGCAACATTTACTGCAGAACAAATTAGTCTACTCCACAGTAAGTGTCTCATGTAGATGTGACCATTTGCTATACATTTACACTTAATAGTAAATAATGAAAACAGAGAAATAGAAGGAAATAGAAAATGCATGGACAAAAGAAAAAAAGTATAGGAATAGGCATAGTGATGATCAAGGCATTTTGAATTTTCTTTTCATCTGGAGTCTTTTCAGTTGTAAAATAAAGTTACATCAAACACAGTTTCACTAAGGACTCAAAGTATGATTCTGTTTTTTCTTGCTTTACAATGCTGTATTATCCCCCCCCCCCCCAATATACACACACACACACACCACCCACACTTTGCTGAGTGGGACAGAAATGCTAACAGGTTTACACCTTATGCTCTGATTCTACAACTCCTTTTGGGCAAAACCCTATGCATGATCAGAACCCTATGCATGATGCAGGACTCAAAGAACCTAAGTAAGAGAGAGAAACCTAAAGAATTAGTGATCATTTTCCATGAAAACCTATCTGATGAAACACTTCAAATTTTTTTTGTGTGATAAGCTTCCCCCAAACAATACAATATTATAATTTTTTCATTAAAATGTTGACACAACTTTCTTTTGACTTGCTCTATTTTCTACCAACTTTAATGAAAGCTGAATCATGCCTATCATGATGGTGCGTGTGAGTAATATTTTACACACTTCACCACTATTTTCTCTTTTATACCACTGACTAAAACTAAGGCTAAATTGATACATATAATCTTTATAGAAGATAACACTCACCTACAGTTAGTTGTCCAGTTAATTGTCCCATGTGATTTCGTGCATTCACTGTTACATTCCTGTCAGACTGTAAGACCAGTGGGCTATCCTGGAAAAAATATATAAGGCAAAAAAATGAAAAAGTATTATCATAAAATTAAGATAGAACTAGAACACACACATGACAGGAGAAGCAACTCTTTCCAAGCAGGATATTCTTATTTAACATGAATAATTAATTCAAAACATTTTACATATCCAATTTAAATGAAAGTTTTGCTGCTAAAAATACTTTATTTTTGGAGACTAAGGTTGAAATTAATTTCTTTTTTTTTCTATGAAGGTCATGTTTGGATGATAGGTATAAGCTCAAAAGAACTAATTGTTGCAAATTACATTAATCGTAAGTATATATTTAGGGTAGATTCTGTATTAATTATATGATACATTATACTATCATTACTGTCTTAGTTCATGATATATCAGGGGCAGGCAACTATTTCAGGCAGAGGGCTGCTCACCAAGTTCTGACAAGCTGTCGAGGGTTGCATGGGTTGTCTTGCCCCTTGACAGGTACCCTACCCCTGGCCACCATCTTGGGACCCAGAGTCCTACCCCTTGGCCCCAACCTTTGCTATTGGAAGCCCTTCCCATCACCCCCAGAAATACTCCTGTCAGCAAGGGGTTTTGCCACCTCAGAATCAGAAAAACACCAAATTATATTCTAAAAAATCAAACACCTACAACATTCACTAATTTGATTTCAAAAAATATTTTTGTCCTGATTTACATGTGTTTGTGTAGTGTACATAGAGGTGATTGTATATAATAGTTTAAAATGAAGTCTTACTCTTGTATACTGTGTGGGACTGGGGGGCGGATAGGTGCGTGGGATGTGGGGTGAAGGAGTATGCGGGTGTGTGTAGATATATGGGGTGTGGGTGGATATGGGGTTTGTGGGGGGAGATGGCTGGGGTCTATGAGGGGGTGTGGGGGTCTGTGTGTATGGCAGTGCAAGGGGTGTGTGGGTGTATGTGTATGGTTGGCTGAGCATGTGGGACTCATCCTATGAACACACACACACACACTCCCTCTCCCTCCCTCATTGCACACACAGTGTGCTTTGCTCACTATACCCACCCACACAGTATGCTTCACTCACTACACACACACAAACACAGTGTACTTTGCTCACTACACACACACATACACACTGTGTACTTCCTTCATTATACATACTCACACTCTCTCTCGTTCTTCCCTTCCCTTCCCTAATTGCTCTCTCTCTCTCTGTCCATGTCTCCCTCTCCCTCATTGCACGGACACACACACACACACACACACACCCCTCCCGCTCCTGGCCCCAGGGTACTGGCATGGCCTCATGCTCCTGCGGTCCAGTGATGCAGCCAGGGGCCATGAGCTGCATGCAGAGAAAGCAGCTGCAGACACAGGCTTTGGTGTGTATGGGGGGATGGGATTAGGAAGGGGCTGTGGGGCGGGGTGGAGCCAGCCTGGTCTCTCCTGACTCCTGCCGGCTACCCCTGGGTCCTACTGCCCCTGACTTATGCCATCTGTGACAGCAGCTAGGAGCACATAAATATTATTTTTCTAAACTTCTTAGGTACCCTACGGGCCAAATCTGGACCGCAGGCCATATTTTGCCCGCCCTTATGTTATATACTACTCTCCTTTGGTCACAGCTAATCAGTATTATAACCTAACTTAAACTATTTATGTCTTTGGTGTTAATACAAATCATTATTCTATTTTGAAGATGGAAAAAAGAGGCAAGAAAGGTGAGTGCTTTGCAGCATAGCTATGGCCAAGCTAGCTTAAGTACTACTAGCAGCCTACTCTGCTACCAAGAAACTCAGCAAGTCCTAACTGCAAGTATTCATTAAATTTCTTGGATGAGTTTTTCAGCCCACATCAAACATCATGCTTCTCTGGCTATACTTTTAGCAGGACCCAAGATATTCAGTTGAAAGCTAGCCCAGCTATGCCTATATTATTCAGTAGTCTGAATTACAGGCACACATTGTTTCTTATCTCCTGCATGTCTAAATGAGAAAATTTTACAAGGACAGTCCTGTTTTTTTGTAGTTGTCCTTGATATCCTGAGAACTTCTTTATGACACCTAAATCATTCCATTTTATTTAGCTAAGCAGTTTAAGGTTTCAGGTAAAGTTTTGCATAAGTCATTGCTATATTGAAAAAAAAAACAACAACAATTACCACATTTTTACTCTCATTAGTTATCAGGCACAGTTATCTTTGTATCATGTCAGTAGCTCCTCAAGGTTAAAGCTTGTCTTTTCTTGCCAGGATGCATCATCTTGTTGCTACTATGGATTCAATGAGTACATAATCAATAGGGGTGTACAAAGCGGGCCCTATTTGATTCAGATTTGGATTCAGACTGAATCAGGGACAGTGATTCGATTCATGGATTCGGATCACTGTCCCGATTCGATTAGCTAAATCTGAAACTGAAGATTCAATGCTGATTCTGAGAATTGGTGATATGGACATAGATACAGCTTTAAATGTTTTTTCTTCATGCCTTGAGGTACCAGCATAGCTTTTGAATGCTGAGATGCTGGAGCGCATGGAGTGTCCCACAGGAGTGGGGTGGGGGGCCATCCATGTGCCAAGTGTGGAACCAGGAAGTGGACTGGAAGTACTTCCAATCCAATTCCAGGTCCACCGGGGAGCACAAAGCCCGCCCCCCCCCCGCACCTGCCTGGCTTGGCGATCAGCCATGGGGGGACCCCAGATGCCCCCCATTGTCAAGCCAAGGGGGCATGGGGCCCCCCCTGCGTGCTCCCTGGCAGACCCAAAAGTGAACTGGAAGTGCTTCTGGTCCATTTTCAGGTCTTCTGCCAAGCGTGCTGAGGAGCCCCCCATGCTCCTGTGTGATGCTCCATCTGCCCCACCATTGCAGCATTCATGAGCCGCCTGCTACCTAGAGGTATGTAGAAAAAACATTTAAAGTTGTGTATATGTCTGAATCACTGAATCTTTCTGAATCTCTCTGAATCAATTCGGATGGTTCCGAATTGAGCCAAATCTGCACCGATTTGAATCATGGACTGAAGCTTCACACAGCACTAATAATCAAGTCACTGTAAAATCTTTACTTTGGCTTATCAGAGCAGGGGGTTGAGGAGGTAACTGATTGATATTGTTATCTAAAATATAGAAATGGGGGAAGCAGCAGAAATGGGGGAAACACAAAACAAAACAGCAGAGTCCAGCTGCTTTTTACCTGTGGAAATCAAAGAATTCCAAAACAGGCCAAAACAGGGATCTCATGAATATTTTATGATCCTGAAAGTATGTTTTTATTTTTGAAAATATAACATCTCATGTGTGGAGAGCAAATCCCATAGGAAAAAAAAGACTTCCAGAAAAATATTTCCTAATGATCTTCTTTATCTAAATGTATAATGTTGGGGTCTGCCTCAATCAGTGATTCTCAGCCAGGCTGCTGCATCACTCTAGGGTGTCTTGACATCCTTTCAAGGGTGCTGTGGGGTGCCATACAATGTGCAAATATGATTCAGAAACACCCCCCCACCCCAACATTTCAAAGAGAAATTCATAGTGTAGAAAACTGTCTGACCTGTTGTCTTTCTAAGTTCTTTGCAATAGAAGAATAGCTCTGTTGTTTTTCTACAGTCAAAAAATGAGTGACAGTGAAGAGCTGACACTTTCTAAGAGGTGTCTTGAATCTAAAAAGGTGGAAAACCATTGGCCTAGATGAACAGCTGAGTGATGATGAAGATGACATTTTATCAGTTACATTTGACAAGAATGGAAGAACCTTATCCAGGGTTGCCAGCTGTCCATAAAGTTTAAGATGGTCAGTAAAAAATCAAGCTAAAAATGCCTGTCCTTAAAATCCATTAAAAAGTTGATCCATTTGTAAAAACTCTAGCAGCTGGCATTAATTGAAGTTAATGGAAGCAGCTGGAAGCAGAACTGAAGCAGAGACAGAGCACAGCAGTGCCACCTGGTGTCTGAGTGGGAGGGTAACACCTTGAAGGGAGCTCTTTTCAGGACTTTGTAGACCTCTCCCTGCTCCAGTGTGTACTTTTGCTGTTGCTGAGTACCATCTGGCTACCTCTCTTTAATACTCCTAGATTGCAGGTAGGTTTCTTTGGGAGTCCATGCTTTGGGGAACTAAGTATTGTGGAACAGGCAGGGGAGGGCAGGATTGTGTAGGCTATAGTCAGAGGCATCAGGCTGTGGAGGTAAGTAGGTGATCCTTGTATGGGGGAAGCATGGTGTAAAACCATTGCTGCAGTCAAACAGGGTTGCCAACGTTAGGATTTATTATTATTATTATTATTATTATTATTATTATTATTATTATTATTAACTGCAAACATTTTATAAGGACCCAAACTTTTTTTTTGTTTTGATTTGATTTTTGCTGTGGTTTCTGTTAAACTCTTAAACTTGAACACAGTCCTTCTAGCTAGGGTCTGGCAGCAAGGCAGGACCTGGCACAAGAGTTATATTTACATTCTATAACTGTCAGAACACATATCAGTAAAACCATGCATCAGTAACAATGTTTGGTTGTCAGTAAAAATGTTGCAGATTGTCAGGGGGAAAAAATATTGGGTTGGTAATCCTGGCCTTAATTTTTTTTAATGTTTTCATGAAACATCCTTCTGACACCTCCAGGTAAAATCCATGCAATGTATTTCATGCAGCAGAAATTGGGGAGCTGGAACTGAGGCAGAAGTTGCCTGCTTTTTAGTAAACTGCACATCTCTGAGTGAGCACATGACACCTGTCTGCTCCTTAATACATGTGCTCTGGGATGGGGTGGGGGGCATTTTAATTAGAGCAGCTCTTAGGAGCTGCTCTAATTAAAATGCTTGCAGCATCTCATATATTCAGCATCCCACACTTCAAAATGGTGGCAGGGGCACTTTGACTCATTTGATGAGCTTTAGTTAAAATGCCCCCGCTGCCATTTTGAAATGCAGTGATACTGAATACGTGTCATTGCAAGGCTCCCAAATAGTTCTAATTAGGTCAAAACCAATTCCTTAAACTCATATGCATGTGTATAGGCACCTTATGAGTTT